TTGACGGCATGTATCAACAGCGCTTCCATGAGATAGTTGACGCGGTACACGCCTCGCTAGACGAAAGGTATCCGCCTTCGACGTGACAGCACATGGCTCACATTGACCGGTTTGTAACAGGTAAAGAAGACGGCAGAAACCTATGCGAGTTTTGCGGAACATATCTTGAACCTGGACGCCTTGAGCTGTGCCGCGATATGCTCATTAAAAATTGCGAAGCAACGGAATATAACAATCAGCGGATTTCAAGATGTTCTAAGGGTATTATCGGGCGCAAACTGCAAAGAGTTAAGGGCGCTCTTGTCAGAAATGGCTACGCTGGTTAAAATTGCAATTATCATTCCTGTTACATCATGCACGTTAGTAAGATCGCTTTCCTGTCTCCGTCGCATAGAAACGTATATGAGGTCAACCGTGGGACAATCCCGCTTAAATTATGTTGTACTTCTGCATTGCCACAAAAATCTCACCCGCAGAATAAAGCTTAATGGCATTGCAGATGGCATGTTAAGCGATCAGCTGTACCACAGAACACTTTTTTCGTTGAGGGCTGAGCTTTGTGAAAAATTAGTGTCCGTATTTTTTTACGAGGGTGGAGTGTTGGGCGAGTTGGTGATTTATAATGGTTAAAAACCGCAACAGAACAACGGACAGAATGGAAGAAACAGTGCTGTGTCTGTGTCTTCCTTTCTGTCCGTTTCGTTTTTTTTTTTTTTGTTTATATAACATGGAGGCTTACACGCTCGTCTTTTAGTTTTGTTCCATTGCTCCGTGAGTCGCTTGTCCATCTATTAATGTGGCCTTTCATATAAGAGTGTCTGCAGTTGTTTGTCTCCCGCTGAGTTCGTTTTTTTTATATTATATAACTTTTGAAAATATGTTGGTTGTTTCTTAAATTGTGTATACTTCCACATTTTCTCTTGATTTTGTCGATAATATCAAATAGTGTTTAATTAATTGTGTCATGCTTGCGTTAGGCTAATTCGTCAAGTTATTATCTCCACAAAGGTGACCTGCAGTGACGTTTTGTTTTCTCTTGCATTTTATAAATATAGCATTTTGGGCTCATTTGCTGTACTTATAATAATAATAATAATAACTTTATTTTCCAAATGAATAGGAGGGGCAGAAGGGAAAAAGCCTCCAAAGGAGGCTTGACGAGCCCGAAGCCCCATACGGTGACAGGCAGCAGCACAAGAAGAAGAAAAAATAAAAAAATAAGCGCACACACGCATATACATAAGAAAGACAAAAAAAAAAAACTTCATCAGAATTATTATAAACACTACAGAGTAGACACTGTTGTAGCCCTAAAAATAATATTATACAGTTCAAACAAACCAGTAGATAATAGGTAACATAGTAGGCATCGATGAAGAATCACAAGCGCAAATAGAATGAACGCAAATCTTCAGTTGATATGGAGTCTAAACAAATTTCGTTGCTGGCGAGGTAGTTGAGCAATTTAGGTATAGTGTAACGTAGAGTTCGTGTACCATAGTTTGTCTTACAGCCGGTAACCTTCCAATATTCCATGTGTCGGGTTAAATAGACGTGATCGTTCGGCACTAACTCGGATAAGTCTGACAAGAAACGCGTATTTTTTTTGTTCTCGAGTTTTAAGCTGATGCATAATCTATAGTCATAGAGGTTAAATATTTTTAGCATTCTGAACTTTTGAAACAAACCCTCACTATGGTAATCATAAGGCACATTACAAATAATTCTCAATATTCGTTTTTGCAATAAATGTAGTTTCTGCAAGTTTGTGAACGTCGTGTTACTCCAAATGAGGCTACAGTAATTTAAATGGGACTGAAACAGGGCATTGTATATTAATAGTTTCACGTTAACGGGTAGAAAGAACCGTGACGGTATATTAGTCCTATAACACGTGACAGTTTTGTGGCTAAGTTTTAAATGTGGTTATCCCATGACATTCATTCTGAAAAAAATACTCCGAGAGTTTTAAAAGTGCTGACGATTTCTATGGGGACGGAGTTCAATACGATGTCTCGCATTATTATTACACTCTTGTTTTTTGGCCGAAAAATTATGGCTTTTGTTTTCTTGGTATTAATGTTCAGACCATTATCTCGTGACCAGGCGTACAATTTAGACAATGTTAAATTGGCGACATCGATAAGTTCATCGCTGCTTGTGCCGGAAAAAAATATGCGGCTGTCGTCAGCATATATTACAAATTTTGCCGATGGATTTATATTGACAATATCATTTATATAGATGTTAAAAAGAAATGGTCCAAGTATACTCCCCTGTGGGACGCCAGACTTAACTGGTTTGATATCAGATGAATATTTACCAATGGAAACATACTAAATAGTATGTTTCCATTGGTAAATAAATAGAAATTAAATAGTATCTGGACAAAAATGTCAGATGGAAATTGGAAGCAATGATGACATGTTTACCAGTTATAATGTGAAACTGCTTGCAAGAGCACGTTTGTGAAACTGCTTGCAAGGAGCGCTACAACACGGGATGGGAGAGGGGGAGAAGGAGGTAAAACTGGAGATATAGAGGTGAAAGAGGGAAATTTGAGAAGGAGGGGAGTGCGAAGAAAGAAAGTGGCAGCATATCCCTCGCCCCCCCCCCCCCCCCCCTTTTCCCCCGGAAAATTTAAAACTCCACGCCTATGCTGAAAAACCATACTACGAGACATAGCTTTTACTTGACGTAATCACACCATGATTGTATTCAACATTTGTTATAGCCGAGAGAAATAAATTTAGTGGTATTAAATGTACGCTTCAGAAGGTTCGTGCTCAGCAGCGAGATCACCACAAGGGCGGCAGGTGGGACGACAGCGCGAGCTATGTATGGTGAGGGACAGAGTGAGAACAACATGGCGTAACCCGATATACGCAGAAACGCTGGCTGCCGAGCTAAACTTTCTCACCCAAAACTAATAGAAGCTAGTAAGCTGCTGCAGAAACAGTCGAAACAAAACGAGATGCTCCCCTTGCTCTCAAGTGAGCTTAGCCCCACCCGTTTGGATTTCATCAGCAATTTGCCGGGAGAATCGGGCCTTATGTTGTTGTCTTTTAAAATCGCCTATTGAGCACTGTGGAGACGTTAAACCGCTACAATTTTGCGAAAATAGCACAGGATAAAATAGAGTATTTGTTTGATTTTTGTGAAATATAAAAGTCACAAAGAACGGGAAAATTACAGAAAAAATATTTCGCCACATTTTGCTCTTCAGATGCCTTTCCAGCCGAAATAACTGGCTACTTGTTCACTTAATTAATACTTTGGTGTGAGCTAGTCAGTTTATGTTCGTTCGAAAGTATCAGAAGCGAAAAAAGCAGACATAGAAGGAACACATAAAACATGAGCGAGCGCTAACGTCATTTAGACAATCAAACAGACTCTCGCATAGCGCACATGCGAAAGCACTCCCGAGGCAACAGCCACCACTTCCGATACGAAAGCTATTACAGAGTTGACAAAAACGATTCAACTATTTCTTTTGTTTCTTCTCCTTGTTATTAGCTTTTATTTATACACTTGGTTAAATCAATAAAAGAGGGTCACTCCCGCAACGCAAGCCATGTGCCGCAAAGTCCCCCCCCCCCCCCCCCCCCCCCCGTTTTTTCACGGACCCCAGGTGGACGCTCGCGCGCCCTTTCATTAAAATAACGCCACGTGTGTACGATATAGTACGCTTGCAGATTAATCGGATTCATGCATTTCATAATTTTTATCATTTTGCCTTTACTTGATTTTATGATTTTTATTTGTGGTAAGTTTCATAGAACCTGTATATCAGACAAAGCAGTGTCACGTGCGGATAAAGGAACAAAAGGTTGTGAGCCGAATTTTAAACAAAAAGACGAGGCCCGAAAAACCTCCTTCCTGTGATTTTCATCCCTTCGGTCACAGTGATATACTTTCTAATTGCATTCACACAAGTGCTGAACTTGTAAGCGCAAATAAAGATGTGTACACTAAGGACAGGTCATGCATGTGGCTATTTAACTAAAATTTGGTTGGGAAACCAAGCCAATGTTTATTTTACTGCATGATGAAAAGAGTCCGAGTTGTTCAATTATTCAAGAAATCCTCGATTGTCCCCTCCTCTTTGCCGAATAATATATTGATCTTAGCATATGGTACTAGTCAACATACCGAGAAATAAAGTTAGCATGCAACCCTCCAAGTCTCCAACCCACCCCCCCCCCCCCCCCCGCTTTTATTTTTTATTTTTTGCCAAAAAAAAAAAGGTTTTGTGAATATGAATTTTAAACTAAACAGAAGCTTCCCAAATTATATTCATCCTTCGCGCAAGTTAGGGACAAAATGTACGAAAAAAAATGCCTTCCCAAAATGGGTTCCTTGATGACATCGTTCCAGCTCTACAACACAAGATGTGAAATTCGAAACTTGAACGTTATGGCTCATTCAAAGCATTTGCGTTGACTGCGTTGCGTTTCGCTTAGACGCACTGCGTAGCCCTGGCTTACATTTCGACGCGAAGCGCCGCCTGAGTTGTAATCAATCTCAAGCGGTCGTAACCCGGTTAGTCGTAATCAATTCGTTTCAAATGAATTTTGATTTACTCCAATTCATAGAAAGGGAGACAGGACAAAGAGCTACTCAACGTAGCTTGGAACGTTCCTGCATCCCACACATACTTTGACAAAATTGTCAGCACGTTCACAAGCCAACATTATGCAACGTAAAAGATAAAGAACTCAAAAATATTAGATAGATACATACCCTAAATATGCAGCTTTTATAGAATCAAGACTTTTCACTCTAGTTCTGGAGAATATATTTGTTTTATTAGATTTTTTAAATATTTTCTAAGTGACTATTTTGTTTAATGAGTTCGTTAAGGGCGGATGGTACAGCATGCTGAAGCCTTGCGATTCATAATTAGTTTACCAATTAAACCTCAAAATGTCTGGATCATATGTTACGTTACAACCAAAACTACACCCAAAGTGCGGGGAGAATCTACGAGCAGCACGAACCAGGTCATCGGCCAGAAAGAAGATGATGTTTGGCGGTTTAGGGGCGCGCACCACGACCATAGATGCTTGCAAAGAAATGGCGGTGAGCAGCCTGCAAGAGACGCACCCGACGGCGTTATCATTGACAAGAAGTGAATGTTGCCCTAAAATGTGCTCGCCTATCCAACTCGAAAACGCACTCAATAGAACAAAGGGCAATTGAAATCTTTCTATGCCGTCACTGAGAGGCTAAAGGAACTCAGGGCCAGCAGAATCCTTGGCATCCTATTATTGCTCCACTACCAATCAAAAAGTGGCAGTTTTCAATAAGGACGCTGAATATCTTTTTCTTTTTTTAAGTTGTTGGTTAGTATTTAAAGCGCACGTTCGTCTGCTTTTTTTTTTTTTCGGGGGTTCTGGTGACGTCAGAACTCTGAGCCAATCAGGGCTCGGCTTTTTGACGTCCCCACAACCACTGCAAAAGAACCAGACAAAGTTATGCTCTGCATAGGCTATGGTAAGACCAAATAGAGGTGTCCGAAAGAGAATAGAAGGGGGGGGGGGGCAAAATTGTACTCGCGTTACTGGCGCATCTCGCGGAAGGGACACTGTCGGCAACATAGGTTTCCCTTTACATCCACGAAATTGGATCAAATAAAATACTTAATGGCGTGTAGATTTTGAACGTTACTTTTATTGCTCTTCTCAGACGCGTTGTGCGTAATATGTTTACAATACAAAAAGTCATATATTTAAGTTTAGGAGGGGTAACACAGACGTTATTTTTTTTCGAAACCTCCGCCCGACGGCGCCCCGAGGTGTACATTGTAAGACGCAGAAGGAGGGGCGTGTCATGATCTTTGAGTATATTGGTTAATAGGGAAATCGGCCACCCGTGACTGCAATTTCGAGTTTATTAGCTGGCTTAAAGCCAGTAGATTGAGTTATCGCCATACATAGGTAATCTCAGTTTTGACTTGAGTGGTCCTTTAAAGTAAACCGGAATACTGTCGATGTCCTTCTAAAATTAACTTCCTAATACGGTGAGAGTATTTTGGTATCAAATTGTAAAACCTATTACTTGTAAACTATACTGAATAAAATATGATCTATAAAATGTTGGTATAACTTAGATATTTAGAAACAAAATTTAAATACAAAATAACACAGCTACGTTTGCTTTTTGTAGTATAGACTCTTTTCTTCGGAAACGCCACCAGGCGGTGTTCAAGTCTTTATCAAAATAAGGAACCACCTTTACACCGCTGCCTGAAACGACGATGGAACATGTAACCACCAATTCTCCCGGCGAATGCCAAAAGAACCAAGACGCGCGATATATATGTTCAAATATTTCGAATATTCTTTTAAACCAACTTGTCTCCTCCAAAACGATAGATCCTCCTGCCCAAGGCCCTCGGTAAATATTGCTTTCTAGCTCTGGTGACATAAGCAAGCTCAATAGGCTTGCAAAGACGAAGTGTCCGGAAGTCGTTTAATGTTTAATTAAACGACGATGTTAGTGTTTAATTTTAATTCGAACAGATTTTTGTTATGAACAGAAAGGGGGTTGAGAGTTACACTTTTAATCATCGACTTGCCTTTCTGTGGCTTCGCGGCTCTCTTGAGCCGAAATAAATATCCTACCATGCAGTACACGAGTGCCGTTTTCACCATGCATTTATCTGGGTCATTAGATGAGGCTATAATCATCTTCGTAATAGGCTTATTAACTCAAATTCGTTAATAAACTTTTTTTTTAAATATTGGTTTCAGGGGGTCATGTCGCACTTGAGTCACTGATGGCAATTACAATTAGAGGCCAGACCGCTCAAAAGAGTTCGCAAAGAGGTAATTGTTTCTTCGACTCGTATTGATAAATAAAGAGGAAATTGATTTTTAGATACTTATTGATAAATGTTGATGTTTTTTAACGCGATTTCAAAATTCCTCACAAAAATGACGCCGCAAGCTCCGATTACAATCACGCTTAAAAGAGTGACGTAGCGGTTCCAATTATGTCACTATCGTGGCAGCGTGTCTCTCGGTGGGTAAGCAAACGACTCAAGTGACGAGGGAACAGAAACGACTACGTAACTCTTCTAAGCGTCACTGTGGGTAGGACTTCCGGAACGCTTTCTTAGCGCAATTGGAATATCGGGCTAAAATACGAAAAAATTAATCAATAAATACCTAAAAAAGTTACATTTATTTTTCAATTTTTTTCATCTGGTCGGGCCTCTTATTATGGTTTCCGTTAATACTGTGTTTCAACATGGTTCCTAAAGCAAATCAATAAAAAGTTAATTGGCACATTTTATTTAATTATTTATTATTATGACGATTATTCCCTCATTTAATTTCCACCAAGCCTGATAAATACATTGGTGAAGACGACACCCGTCTTTTGCCTTCTTTTATTGCTTTTAATTTGTTCGAGCTCAAATCAAACATAGGAAGATGGTGAGAATACGTTCCAAATATATTCTTGAAACAATTTCGTATAAATCATGCAACACACACCCGTGCATATATACGGGGTGGATAATTTTGATTTTAAACAAAATTCTTAAAAAAAAAAAAAAAAAAACAACCTTGAAAGGTTTACATGTTGTGTGTGCAGGTGAGTTATATGGCGAGGGGGACATAATATAAGGTGCTACTCCTCACTATAACTCGCATGATTAACTAACGTATGTTAATTTACTTTCTAATTAAGGAAAATAAATATATGGTTTCCATTAGAAACGTGCAGAGCTTAATTGAAAACCGCCTACTCAATCAATTTTAGAAAAATACGAAGCACGTGGTAAGTTACGGGTCGTCCTGAAATTTACATTCAGGGAGGTCCAAAGAAGTGGATGATAATCGTCTCATCGGCCTTTACGTCCCGCTAACGTTGTGCCTGTTACACGAGTTACACTTTAGCGCTCCCCCGCGCTTCAAATATTTCTAAATTTTACTGAACTTATGGTTTTCGATTACGCTCGTGAAGGTTCTAGTAGGGCCCTCGTGTTTATGTTCCCTAGTTAAAATAGTTAATTAACCCGTCTGGTCATTTGAGTTAATGATTCAACTTATCACGAGGATCTGTTTGTTGATATGTTCAAAATCTGTTTGAATTGGAATCAAACACCCTGTGTATTACAATGAATCAAGTCATGCCGCAAGAAACAGAAACATGAAGCTTACCACCAGAAACAACCCTTCGAGTCCCTCATGTCGGGTTCCGTGTCAATTCCGTGGGCTACTCAACCAGGTCACTCTTTAAGAAGAACTGAAACGTTTCTAGCACGTAACATAAGCTGCTTCGGTGTACAGGATGCGGTATAAATTTGCATCGTCGATCATGTGTTCGGTTTCGGAGTTTAGTTTCAGCTGTGCGTCCATGTAGCTGCACAAGGGCTACGTAGGATGCGTTTATGCTATTCGCTTTATGCCTCTCCATGTTTTCACCGTTAGTTTGGGTTAGAGTAAATAAAAGGTCGTTTTCTAAGTATTTCCTATTTAACTGTGCTACGTTTTACGGCCTATTCTTTATTGCATCGTGCATTAGGGGCATTAACGATTTATGGACAGATTCATTAATCAGCGTGGCCTCGTAGCACAGCACAAGGTAAAAATGCAATGCAGGAAAGAGTATCAACCCCTTCATCATGTCCGCCTAATAACCTTGATCATTTTGCGAGGGTTTAGATGTACCAACAGCTTCACCGAAGGCTTTCAAGAATCCCCAAATGTAGTGCTGTTGAGAACGAAGCATTTCTTTCCGAACAAACTGTCAGCGACGTCGGACGTCAAGAAGTGTAGAAAAATAAACACACCAATTAGCAAAATAATGTACAAAAGTTTACAATTATCTTACTCATTCTTGAACATAAACATATGGTTCTAATGAGAAACTTGCTAAGCATCATCGAAAACCACTAAATCAACTCATTTTAGAAAGACCGCGAGTAGCGGAAATATTTTACGGAGTTCAAAAAAAGAAAAAAACGTTACATTTGGACACGTTTCTTGGTTTCAGTTTCTTATGTAACCTTATCTCAGCGCCGGCAGTCCCGCTTCCTGGTAGCCGAGACGCCCAAAGCACGTTCTTTCTTCGAGGGAGGCTAGGCTACCCTGGTCAGAAGCAGTCCAACTGTATGCAAGGTAGCAGTTACACAATACTAACTAGCAAACCGCAACCTATCTTTCGATTTAAAACGATGTTCCACTTCTCTTTTTTGGGAAAGTGCTCGTGTAACCGGGAGGGAGGCGGAAAGGGGGAAGGGGGGGGGGGGATAGGGGAGGGAGCCGCGAGCCGCACGTTAACGCGCGAAGAAGTGGCCAAGCTGCGGCTCGCGAGCCGCAGCTTGTCCACTTCTGGATTAGACCATCCCGGCCACTGGTTTTGGTGGACTCAGTTTTCGACCAGCTCTCTGTGTACTGTTAGTTTCGAATTCGCTTAACAGGGTAGACGACAGCCGTTTCTGATTGAAGGCCCATGCTAGTTCCGAGTTGCGGCAGTGACGTGGCACGTCATTTCAGCTTGCAAATGTCGGAAAGGGCCCGTCTTCCAAGATATCTAGGGAGCCACTCCTCCCCGTAGGGACAGGCTGCACCGTGTATATAATGGGAATGAGCGAAGACTGACAAGTGCAGTTTCCCTAACTTTAACGCAGTAAATGCCCAATACTCACCTTCTCCCCTCTTCGGTCACAATATTACTATGGCTGCACACAAAATGTATATATATATATATATATATATATCAGGGGTGGCCAAGCTGCGGCTCTTCACGTGTTAAAGTACGGCTCGTGGCTCCCCCCCCCCCCCCCCCCCCCCCCGCGGCTCTTAGCAGTTTCGTGGTTTTGTTTGCGGCGCTAAGGCCGGGTCAGCCTGGCCACCCCTGATATAGACCAACTAAACTCTCTGACGTCACGGCGCTGCGGTGGCGCTGTTGTCGGCACTGCGCATGCGCGGATCCTTCTCCTCAAGCGATTCTGGTTTCTGCGCAGGTACAGTGCCCGAAGCCGGTGTGGGTAAACGCGGGCTTGTGTATAAACATTGTGTTGGTCGATGCTCCTGATGGATTGGAGCCCCAGTCGCTCGAAAAGAGTTCAGGCTCGTGACGACCAGTGTACAAGTTTCGACTCAACTTCAAGTCGTTATAAGCGACCTTGTAAAGCTCGTAAATATTCTGAATTGGTTTCTTTGTTTTGTACCAGCCGCTGCCATCTCTGTGCATCACACAACTTCAAGGAGGAAAACATGAAACGTGTCGCATACACGAACTTCGGGCTACATTTTGAGGCCCCATAAATTCTACCGAACCCCAGCGTTAGCTCAAGGGACCGCCAACAAGACAATGCGACGTAAATTGCTTTGTTAGTTTCTTATGGCTCACACAATTCGGTGATAACAACTTTGCAGGTGCAACTCAGGAGAAAATGCAGCGTTCAAATTTTTGAAATAAACAGTTTGAGCGCCGCGAATCACTCGGAATTCGTTCATTTTATTTACCCTTATTTCAGGTGTAGGTGCAGAGGATGGCAAGAAATGGCCGTAGAACTTTTGTATTAGACAAGATAGGCCCGCAAAAATCGATTGCTTTGAAGAGCAGTGTTATTACCAACAATTCTTGCTGCTTACGTGAGCGAAAATAGAGAAACCCATTTATATTTTATAATTGTGGTTTTTCAACTGCTCGGGAGCAAAATAAAATATTTCAGGGGTATAAAGCGCACACGTAAAATCTCTTAAATATAGCTGCAGCAGCTCCTGGTTTACGCATAGAACAAAAACCGCCGAAAGAAGAACTTGCGTTAGTGCAACTACTGATGCTAAGTTTTTCTTTCAGCATCTTTTTTTTATACATCGACAAATTGCTTCCACTCAACTGTGAAATATTACATTTTATTTGGTGTCATTTCAGGTACTCTCATCGTGGCATTAAATAGGGTTTCGTACAGAACGAAACGATTAACTTAATGCGGGTAAACTCCAAACCTCGCGTGCCCTCGTCACTGAACTGTTTGCTAAAATTCCAAATGCCGCAGTGTGAAGCGCGCAAATTAATTATGATATTGTCCCCTCCTCTCTGTCAGAATGTGCCACGTGATACTGAAAAAAAAACGAAAAACAAATGATAGCATATTTCCTCAGCTCCTCGATTGAGGCATATCGTCTACTGCTGCCGGTTCTACACCAACTCCTTTCGGCGCCGGCACAGGTCGTTGCATGTTTTCCGTTAGGGTTTATATGTAGGTTCCAAAATGTTAAAGCGCCACTTATAATCAACAACTTTTTTCTTTGCAACAGTCCAACATGGTGTACGGGCACTGCAACCTATGTGGGTTAACAAAAAGAAGGACAAACAACGTCGTTCGAAATAAAACGGCCCACTAGTCGCGTATATATCTTGACAGAGCCAGCAAAACCAAGCTCGTCATGTGAACAAAAAGAAACGTCTTTGTATTAGAGTAATTAGACAAACTCCGCGGTCACTAAGCCGTCCACGCGCTCATTGTTTGCGTAGGAACTGGTCAATATACGTGTCACAAGAAGTCAACCTCCAGGACGCGTCAGGTGTGGAAAATACCCTTTACGACCGGCAGGGCGCATTCCGGAAATAGTGGCGCCTTGTAGGCTTCGCTTTCCGGCTTTCCCGGCTGCATTGGGCACCGATGCGTGCACATTATACCACATCATCGTTTGAGAAGCTCCGGTATTGGCCCTCATTCTCTTGGCATACGTGTACGTCATTAGATTGTGTTGTTTTTGATGAATAAGTATGTCAGCAAGCGCAGGGGGGAAAGCAGTTGCCGTCGTCATATCGCTTTTTCAATCGCTTAGTCGTGTGCTCCCATGTTGAAGTCGTTCACGCGGTGGTCCCACTGTGCCTGTGGCAAAGACAACGACGCCATTATTCGAGCTACTCCGGCTGCTCGAACGTCGCAATGAGCTTGAAAACAAGTGAACATTTAGTTCAATGGCAAAGAAGAAGAAAATTTGAGGGACCATTGGATCGGAGTAGCAAAGCGGAACAGCATCCAGTGGGCCTATGGGACACGGAGAGTGCTCGGGCTTGTGCATAGCGCTTTATTGATAATGAAGTATTAAGAGCTAAATATTGTTTCTCTTGGAGTGATAATTTCCTAAAAGTTGTTTCATTCTGGCGGCCAGCCTATGTGACGGCCTAAGCCAGTACAAAAAAAAAATAAAACAAACGGTCAACACATGCCAAATACCTAAAAACATTGGATGGACATTACATCGCGTGTGCAACTTCAATGCAATAATATTTTGTTTTGACAAGCTGGTAACAGTCGCCCAAAAGGATAACCTTTTTTCTTTTTGTGCGTTTATTTAGGGTTGTTAACGCAGAACGAATCATTGACGCCACAAAAAAAAATAAAAAATAAAGTTGCGGCATAGGAGACCACCACACGGCTGGTTATGTTCTCTTCTTCCTTGAAAGTAAGTGTTGCACTTCTCAGTTGCATTATGCGGTGTGTTAACGTTATATATATATATATATATGTATATATATTGTTCTTGAAAAAATTTGCTTCATTTCATGCGATGCATATCTGGAATCAATGCTTTTTTAGTGATTGTTTTGATCTTTTGGAGCACATTTGTGCATAAAACAGGTCACTCTAATAACATTTATCGATACCAAGATACATTGAGATATATGTGTATTAAAAACGGACGTCGAAAAACAGCGCGAAGGTCCAGATTGAGATGGACCGTTATGGGGCGGGTGCTTAGGGACGTTCCGACGCACGAAACACTTCGGCACTCCCTACTCTGTCCCCTTCCCTAACATGCAATGAGGTAGATATTAGTCATAAAGCAAATCGCGAAAGAAACCGAAAAAAAACGCTCTTACCGGCCGTTTCGTCCGACTCTGTTTACCTTTCTTAGCCACTCTTGTCGGAGGCTGCTTTCTTTCGGGGAGATACAAAATCCGATGTTCTTTTGCCTGGTGTTTTTATTGTTGTAGCACCCTGCCTTAACAAATGGTAAAGTCACCCATTGAACAGCGTGGGTAAACAACCGATTAGAAGTCTGATGCTTACCCCGAAACTTCCTAAAGTCGGGCATACAATATGCACAGTGGCAGCGTTGGCGTCCCGCAACTCGTGGTGAGATCGGTCTATCGGAAGATACGGCATTCTGCGAGGCAGCAGCCGTCATTTACGCAGTCCGTCTCTTCCTAAGTTTCGATTTC